GGCGCTCCCGCCGAGGGTTCAGATCCCATATAGAGACTGGTCCGCTCACTGGTTGAGCGCGGTGCGGGCGCGGCACTGAGGGTTGCGATCCCGTTGCCTGTCGCGGTATGGGCGCAACACCGAGGGTTGCAATCCCGTTACCGGTCACGAAAAGACAAAAAAAAGGAAAAAAATAAACAAAAACTTGAGCTATTACTTTTAGGGTTTTCTTCCCCTACGAGTGTATACTTTCCTTTCAATTGGATGACACTGTACATGCTATATTATAACAAGTTGTTGCCTACTGACTACAGAATGAAAACTTTTCCAAATTATTCCCTGTTCTTTTAAGTCACTAAGGGCTAGAATACTAAAAGTATCCCAATATATGATTCTACCACAATTAACCATGTTTGATGCTTTAAGTTGAATTATTCCACTTGTAAGAGTAATTGTGTAGTTAAATTATTTTGTGCCTTTTAAATAATTTTAAAATCTGCTTACTTTCTCTCCTCTTCTAATCAGCTCTCAGCTGTTACACTTCTCTCCCTTCTAATCTGTGCACAATCGAGTTAAGTCAGTTTACTTGCATGACACCTTACTTGCAATTCTGTCACTTGCTCTAGGCCCTAGGTGAAAGGGACAGCTAATGCAGCAGCTGTGAAGGGAGGCTGGTTTTGCTTATTTGGGGGTATGCCTTTCATTAGTCCAGATCTCCTAGCATTGGTTCTTGCCTCAGTGGATAAACCCAGGAGATGGTGGCACATGCTCTAGCTGTGGTTGACTTTTCCCTTTCCACTCCCTCTTGGAGTCTGGAAACCCAATCTGCCTTTATGCCTGACAACCACCTCACTGTTACTCCTTTCTGGTTATGTGATGCCCTTCTGCCCTTTAGCCTAGGTCTAGGAGTTCCTGGTCTTCTCGACTCCTGACACCACTATGTGTGCATATTGCTGGATTCTACTTTGTGGGGCTCTCTGCTTTAATTTCTCACACTTTTAAGTAACCCATAGCCTTTATTTGTGCTTTTTGACAAATTTGCACTATTTGACAACTTCGGATACCATGAAATTCACCACATTTCTGTGTGTGAGCACAGAAAACAGACTTCAACAATTAAAACAAATTCCCGTCACATATGACTATATAGTCTAAATGCAGCTGGATAGGCTCCTGTTTCTCCAGTTCGCCTGAAGGATCACATGGAATTCTTAACAAAGATTCCCAAGCCCAGCCCAATGGATAGGTCTTGTAATCTGGACATTTTAACTGGAAATATTAAACAAGCACCCCAGGAGATTCTTATGATCAGGCACATTTGGAAGCAGTGGGCCCTTAACCTGCATCCTCTGAGAACTTCAAAGGATGGGATGTTCAATTGGGTTGTAAGGGAACCTGTCACCAAGTGGTCAGAATGTGTCCCCAGAAACTCCTATGCTGTAATTTAACCACCCGTGTGATAGTATTAAGAAGTGGGGGCCTTCAAGAAGTGATTAAGTCATGAGGGCAGAGGCCTCATGGATGGGATTAGGACCCTTATAAAAGGGCTTGAGGGAGTGGGTTCGTTTTCTTCCATGTTTCTGCTATGTGAGAACACAGCTTTCAGCCTCTTTTACCCTTTTTGCCCTTCCACATGTGAGGATGCAGCAACAAGGCATCATCTTGGAAGCAGAGACCGGACTCTCATTGGACACTGAAACTGCTAGAACCTTGATCTTGGTCTTGTAGCCTCCAGAACTATGAGAAATAAATTTCTGTTCTTTATAAATTACCCAGTCTCAGGCATTTTGTTACAGCAGCAGGAATGGACCAAGACACCAATCTATAGGTAGTTCAGGGTTCATCCCATGGGGACAGGAATATTCTAGGATTCAAGTATAAGTTGGAATACTAAAAAGTCTTTAGAGCTTGAGACAAAAGGAGGAACTTATGGTCTATTTACCACCTCTATACCAAGGATGCTTTCAAACATATACCCCCTGGGTATGAAGTCTGTCCCAAATAGTGGTTCCAGAACTGTTAAGAGTCATACAGTTCTTCAAAAAGTGTAACTTAGAATCTGGATCTTCTGAGGCCTGAATCCTTTGCATATATGCTAAAATCATTTGGAGTGCATATCTTTTATTATTAGGTAAGGTTTTATTTCCACTTAAAAAAA